CAATAATGCATTCGAATAATCGGGCTCATAGAAATCGAATATTCGTTTAGCCTATTTAAATGACATTTAACGAAAAAGACGTTATTTTTTAAGTACATTTTTCAAAAAGTTTTTGTCACCATTTCTTAACAAGCTTACGATTAGGCAATACACAACAAGCTTACAATATATGTTAAAGTTTTCTTTTAGTTGAAAACATTAAACAGTTGGCCTATGTGTAAACAAAATATAAATAACAAAAGGATTTAAGCTCAAGCAGCGCGAGCGGAAAAAAAACGCCTAATAAAGCAGAGTAGCAGACTGCGCCAGATATCGAACAGAACGTACACACACACTCGAGTCAGCATGATTATCGTGTATATTGTTTCACATTTATGTTGAGAAAAACAATAATGTCCACATGCAGGGGCGCCGCCAGCAATTTATGCTCGAGTGAGAAAACGTGCTGCACTGACAGACGATTCAGAGACACAAACGGTCACGGTATTATAAGTTTCTAACAGCACTTTGCGTTTTCTGTTTTTAAACCTGTCTCTCTCAATGAAACTTAAGGGAAGTATGTCTAAAAAAAATAATTTTGCTATTAGATAAGTTATCATCTCTCAGATCACGCGCGCTACAGCTGCGCTTACCTGCAGTCGTAGTGATGGACAGCTGTCTTTCCTCAGTCGCCTGCTGTTTGGATTTCATGTGATTTCTCATTGTGTTGATGATATTATAACTCAGATTAATTAATTCATTTGATCAAAAGTAGTTCCCTTCTGTAAGATCATTTAGTAACATAATTTTCAACTAGTAGTCTAATTCCAAACTTCGCGAGGCAGACGACGACGACATTATGTGATCAAATACAAACAACTTGTTAAACACGCACCACAGCGCCACCCAGAGGATTTAGTTATAACTGCGAGTTAGTGCTTGGGATTTATCAGGGATTCACTGCATTTACGGCCAGCAAAGCATTTAGGCTACGGCTTCATAAATTAGATAAAATTCGAATAGTATTTTATTTTTCGAATAATAATTACAGATCGAATATTCGAAAATTCGAATATTCGTGCACATCCCTAGCTTGGACAAGGAGTTGTGTGGCATGCTCTGTAAGGAAGGGCCTGATCCTCCTAATGTTGTGCAAGGCAAATCTGCAGGATCGGGCAGTTCTAGCAATGTGGTCTGTGAATTTCAACTGATCATCAATTTCAACCCCAAGGTTCTTAGCTGACCTTGATGGAGTTATGGATGACGAGCCTAGCTGAATGGAGAAGTTGTGATGAAGTGTTGGGTTAGCCGGGACCACAAGTAGCTCTGTCTTCGCAAGGTTTAGTTGAAGGTGGTGGTCCTTCATCCAGCCAGAGATGTCTGTCAGGCAGGCTGAGATACGAGCAGCTACCGTCTGATCGTCAGGCTGGAATGAGAGGTAGAGTTGCGTGTCATCAGCGTAGCAATGATAGGAAAAGCCATGTTTCTGAATCACAGATCCTAGTGATGTCATGTAGATGGAGAAGAGGAGTGGTCCAAGCACTGAGCCCTGAGGCACCCCAGTAGCTAGATGTTGGGTCTTAGACGCCACACCTCTCCACGACACCCTAAAGGACCTACCTGAGAGGTAAGACTCGAACCATTGGAGTGCAGTTCCCGAGATGCCCTTCATCTTTAGGATTGACAGGAGGATCTGGTGGTTAACTGTGTCAAAAGCAGCAGACAGATCCAGCAGGATGAGGACTGAGGATTTGGAAGCTGCTCTTGCCAGTCTCAGAGCTTCAATTACTGAGAGCAGGGCAGTCTCAGTTGAGTGTCCGCTTTTGAAACCAGACTGATTGTCGTCCAAGAGGTTATTCTGTGTAAGAAAGGAGGAGATCTGGTTGAAAACAACTCGTTCAAGTGTTTTCGCGACAAATGGAAGAAGAGATACCGGTCTGTAACTTGTTAGATGTGCTGGATTTAGATTGGGTTTCTTAAGCAGTGGGGTTACTCGAGCCTGCTTAAAAGCTGTGGGAAAGGTACCAGTGTGAAGAGAGGTGTTTATGATGTGCATGAGTGTGGGTACAACTGAGGAAGAAATGGCTTGAAGTAGATTAGTGGGGATAGGATCAAGCGGACAGGTAGTAGGGCGATTGGAAAGGAGGAGTTTAGAGACTTCCGCCTCTGAAAGTAGAGAGAAGGAGGGTAGAATGTGTGCGTTTGTTGGTAAAATGTGTGTGTCAGTTTGTGGATTGGTAAATTGGCCGCTGATGGTGGTTGTTTTTTCTATGAAGAATGTGGCAAAATCGTCAGCTGTTAGGGTTGATGAAGGAGGAGGAGGAGGAGGGTTAAGAAGAGAGGAGAAGGTTTTGAAAAGCATGCGAGAGTCAGAAGAATTGAAAATTTTGTTGTGATAGTAAGCCATTTTAGCAGTAGAGATATTAGCAGAGAAGGAAGAGAGAAGGGATTGATAAAGACCCAGGTCTGTCAAATTTTTCGATTTGCGCCACTTTCTCTCTGCACCCCTGAGTTTAGTACGATGTTCGCGAAGAATATCAGTTAACCAGGGGGCAGAGGGTGTGGCGCGGGCTGGCCTGGAGGAAAGGGGACAGAAGTTGTCCAAGCAGGATGTTAAAGTGGAGAAAAGAGTATCAGTTGCACAGTTAGTATCAAGTGTTGAGAGCTGATCAGGTGGAGGAAGTGTGGATGAGACCAAAGAGGATAGGTGAGAGGGTGAAAGTGAGCGTAGGTTTCGTCGAAAGGTGACCTGTGGAGGAGTGTGTGTTGTGTTCTGAGGCAGGTTGAGGTTGAGAGTGAGGAGGAAGTGATCTGAGGTGTGCAGTGGAGTGACCAGTGTATTGACATCAACGATTGGCTCCGAAGCAAAAGGCAACTAGTGCATGCATCCACTTCCGTATTTATACCCACGCTGCGGGTGCGGAGTGTGTAATGCAAACAACGCACGCCAATTCCATTGGCTCGTTTTCAATAGTACTCGAAGATGACTGGCTCCCTGGCATGATCCCATTCAGTCGACGTCGACTGCGTCGAACGTGAACAACTGAAAGGGAACAAGCATCTCTGATACTCATGACAAAAAATCCAGCTGATAGGTTATGAACCATTTAATTTTCTTAAAGACAAAAATGACATTTATTCATTTAGCAGATGCTTTTATCCAAACTTACATTCATTTATAGTAAGCAGATGGTACACATTCATTGACCTGGCCGCTCCCACAATTAAAGGTCTCTATATCAGAGTGGGTAACAGACAATCAGTGTTAACTCTGATTGTTTTCCTCAGAAAGCTTGACCCCAAGGTCAGCAATACTAATCTATAGCATTCAAACAGCCTTCTGTACAAAAGGCCAACTGATGCTACTAACATCTATGGCTTTGTCATGGAAATTATGATAAATTGGTTGGTGTAGTTGAGGGAAGTGCACTTTAGTGATTTATCATGAGTGGTATGTCTATTTGGTGAGCTCACTCCCTGAGGGGTATTCATTTTTCTCAATCTAGCTCTCTGTCCGACTTAAAAATTATGAGTGTCAGTGAACACTCCCCTCTGAACGAGAAAGGTTTTGGCCAATTGGTAGTACTTCGAAGTAGGCCCAATTGCCCAACTAAAAGAGAATAAAGGAAACCTAGAAACTGTGAAAATCTGTGACAGATTTATATTTTATTTATTTTTAATATATTTTTAATATAGTTATGTTCATTCTGTTCATGAAGCCAACTGACATTTGTGAGGTTTATCACTAACCATCTCTCTGACAGTAAACGGCCCCATCAGAGGAGGCCAACCACATGATATTGCACATGAAGGGGATTCTCAAAGCAATTCATAATGCCCAAGCTCCTTAGGAGGCTTGCCGATTGGCAATGCATCAGTCCCAAATAGACTGTTCCGTTCTTTTACTGCATAATCATAGTCTTCAGTGTCAGGTTTACAGGGGATCAACCCATCTGCAGCCCAATCCTTGTGCAATCCTAGAGGAATTGGAAGCTTTGTTGGCCAGACACTGTTGCAGCCTTCCTTATCATGTAAGATGCAAATCGCTACTAGTGCCACGATTATGCAGTTACTTTAGGCTTAGAGTCAGAAACCTAAAGTTAGACTGTGAGTAGGCTCATATTAGCCTTGCCATTTATAGCCTAATGGAATCTCACACTTGTCTTAAATGCTGGTATACATGTTTGTTTCTGTTGCTCAAAGATAGATGGTAAGAGAATTGGTATAGGGTTTAATTTTAGAGATTCCTTTGGATGATTTGCACTGTATTAGTTTCTCCTCTCATCAAGAGATGGATATGGTAAGTAAATGAATAACTTTACAATAACAGTTACCAACAAAGAGGGAATATCAAGGCCTGCCAGCTTTCAACGGTCCCCAAGCACTGCCACTGCAGCCACGCTATCCTGAATGTCAGGGCCGATCAGTGATCAGCTAACCCAGCACTAATCAGAGGAGACAGCCTACAGTGATAGATACACGCTTGTATTTTTAGGCCTTTCTATTTGCCTCTCGCAGACTAAGCAAGCCAAGTGGAGGAGGGGAAGGGATTACTGCAGTTTGGATTCTGAACTCTGGATTCTTATTGTAAAATGTTTCAGGAAACTTTGAAGAACTCTATAGTTCTGGGAAACATTTTCTTTATATTCTTGCGGTATTTTAGCAATTACTTGGAATTATCCTGCCCCACAATTTCTCCTTCTGACTGGCAAGAGAGGACTGGTCATAGCAGAGAGAGGTTGAATCACTTGCTCATTATAACAGCAACACTGGTTAAAGGAAGTGGTTACTGAATCCTATAAAATGTGAATGCAGGAAACAACAAATCCCAAAAGCAGCTCATTATTAGGGTTGGGAACCAATAACGTGAGAAATAACGTGAAATAATGTGAGAAATAGTTATGACTCGGTTTTTTAATCATAAACAGAATCTATAAATTCGTTACGATTAATCCATTCTTACTCACTATAGACTATACCTATACGTTTAAAAAGAAAAAGTCTTTATCTCTATTGTCTAGGATCCCGGAGACAGCCATGGGTACAGATTCAGAGGAGAGCCATCAGACCACCACTAAACACCTCCCAAATCACACTCTCTGCAATGCTCACCTCTTCCCGCAGTCAATATGAGCTTGGGGGCTTCCCCTACCCCCTCGCCTTGGAAAATAACTCAACAGGTGAGTTTATCCAAACACCTCTTCAAAGAGATATGTTTCTGTGGAGTTACCCATCTATCTGGCCATTACGATTAACCCACCCCCCACCCACCCACCCACCCACCCATGGAGTTAATGGAGTGTAATCCATTTTCTGCTATTACTTCTGATTCAGGAACCAACAGTAGCTGGGTGGAGCTAACTGCACTAGCTGCAATGTGTGCTCAGCTCACTGGGCCCAACGGCACTGAGGTCCAGGTGTCAGAAGCCATTCACATCTCTATCCCTCTTCCTTCTGACTCTCCTCTCAAAACTGCCACCAGTGTCCCAGTCTGGAGGTTCGAGGACAGAACAGGTAAACAGCATTTAACAAAATTTGGGTAAATTTGGACACTGGTAACAAAGTTGCTAGTTTGATTCATATAACTTGGATAAAATTGTCCATATACCAATGTAATTAGGAGGGTGATCACGGACGCCCAATTTAGGGGGCACCATGTTCTCTTGATGCACCCCTTTTTGCTGATGCAGATTCTATAGTGGTCTAGTTTATCTCTAATCATAATTAAACACATTTACCAGCTAAACAATGTCTTCAGGATTTCTAGAAACTTCCAGACAAGTGTGTTGGGGCAGCTTGGTGCTAAACTCTGTATGACATCGACTTTTCTGACGCAGGATTAGAAACCCTTGTCATAGTACATGCAAAATTAAGCCTCCAGGAAGACCACAAGGGCTTAAGGCAGCATTTGGAAGAGGGGGTCGTAAATTGTTAATAAGTGTACTAGAAGCAGAGAAAAGGTAAGAAAATATGGTAAAGGGGAGATGGAGAAAGACTGTTTAACTTTCCAAATTTAGTTGAGAGTTATTTAAGCAGGTTCAGATAAAGTGAAAGCAGGTGAAGTGAATGTGCAGTACAAACTAAAGAAAGCTGTTCAGTCTTCTAACATCGGAGAGATAATAGCCTGCCAATTCATAAAGCAGAAATCATCTCCAGACATTGACCCTGTCATGACACAGCTCCCAAAACAGGATGTGATGTAGTACCTGGCAAGCTCTGCAGAATTCCCTAGATCCTTCACTGGTGCCCGCTTAATAAAGAGTACAGCTCTGGTGGAAAAATCAATACAACTAAAAGAGGGTATCGGCCCACTTTCTGGCTGTACATTTAGGTCTTAATTTCCCTTACATTGCTCTTGATATAGTTTCACATGTCATTCCAGGTTATCCGGTATTTTTGTGTTACATTTATTTTCAGTTCTTCTCCCTAATGTCTGGACTGCTTATTAGGATCTATCCTAAAGTGTGGTAAAAGATTCATTTAGCCTCTCTTAGCTCCACAGAGAAATCTCAAATGATTTTAAACTAAGCAGCTTAGTCTATGGCAACCTAATCCCAGATCCCCCTTTTACCCACCCATTTCAGTATGCAGTGCCACAACGTCTTGGTTCCTTGTGTGATTGCATGGATGTCATTCTCAGCTTGTTTTCCTGAACTGGTATTGGTGGGTAATATAAGTACAGTAATTAAAGATGACCCACAATGCATTCAATAAGAGGTCCCCATTCAATTCACAATGCAATAAGAGAGTCAGTTGGCCTGGAAAAGCCTCCTTTGACCCTTGCCCTGACAGATAAGTCTGTTGAAAGGATGTTCTGTTGTCTGAGTATTACCCCTACAGTACAGGACTTTTTTTGTTAATATTGGATGGATATTAATACAGATCTAGCATTATTTAACAATGCACAAATAATGTAATTATTTTTATGCACTACCATTCAAAAATTTGGTGTCGGTAAGATTTTTAAAGTTTTTAAAATAAGTCTCTTATTCTCACCAAGACTGCATTTATTTATTCAAAAATACAGTAAAAACAGTAATATTGTGTAATATTATTAGAATTTGAAAATGAACTGTTTTCTATTTGAATATATTTTAAAATATAATATAAAAATATGTATACATAAGATAAAATATAATAATATTAGACTAATTTCTGAAGGATCATGTGACACTGAAGACTTGAGTACTGATGCTGAAAATTCAGCTTTACCATCACAAGAATAAATTACATATTCACACAGATAACAGTAATATTGTATTATTTTAATTTAGATTAATTGTTTTCTATTTGAATATATTTTCAAATGTAATTTATTCCTGTGTTGGTAAAGCTGAATTTTCAGCATTACTCCAGTCTTCAGTGTCACATGATCCTTCAGAAATCATTCTAATATACTGGTTAAATTATTATTGGCGATAATTCATTAATAATACTAATTCAGTTATTTTAAATTGTATTAATATTTCACAATATTACTTTACAGTAATTTCTTTTTTTTTTTTTTTATGTAGCCTTGGAGAGCATGAGACATTTTTCAAAAACATTATAAAATCGTACCGACCTCAAAGTTTTGAATGGTAGTGTATGAATCATGTATTCATAATTCGGTAATCACTTATTTATTATATATATCATATATTGTGATTCCTTCGAACATGAAAAAAAACAATTCAACTATAATTTAGTCTTGTCTAGATATTTTTCAGACATGAGTGATAAGGTAGACAAGCACTTGATTTAGAGCCAAGGAAAGAAAGATTTTAGACCACATAGTAGCTTAGTACATGGAGCTGCTCAAACGGTGCCAACTGTTACAAGGATGTGGAAAAGTTTATCTTGTCTAAATCTAGATGGAGAATGCTGCACAGCTTAAGAGAAAAGAGCCTGAATATTTAGTGTGGGGTGTGGGGGTGGGGGGGTGGGGGGGTGGGGGGGTGGGGGGGGGGGGGGGGTGGTCAGAGAACTGCCTTCCAGAGAAGAGTCAGTTCTGCAGAACATGATCCTGTATTGTTGTGTGGGCAGATATAATCTTTCCGTAAGTGTGTCTTTGACCATGTGATGGACGTGTGGCTGTAAACTACAAAAGTCTGTATTGTCTAAGAAGACTTTGCTCTGTTGAAACGTGGATGTTGGGAATATAAATGAGAATTCCATTCTCAAAGCACAACCCAAAGCCCTTAGTCACCAAGTCACATATACTAACACAGCACAAATTTACATGATGTCACCGACTGCTGAGTCCCAGCCCTCTGCTTTATCTAAAAAGGGTGGGGCCTGAATGCCCCAATGTGTTCAGATTATGAAAACATTCATTGTGTTGCTGAAATTTGCCATGTGACTACTAAGGCCCTGTTTGTTTTGGAGACAGATCACAGAGGAAGTAGCCCATACAGAGACAGGAATGCTTATGCACAAGGTACTTCGAGGAGCTTACTGCTACTGGGAAAGCCCCTGCTGAGATGAACATATAGCACCTTCTAGTGTGCATAATTACACATTGCATGCAGCTGCCTGGGTCTGTTTTTGTGCTTGTGTCAGGGTTTGGTACTTAGGATTGTGCTGTAGAGTGCACAAAGCTGTTAAATCTGAAATGATATTTATGAAAGTAATATTTAATAGACAATAAAAAGTATCAGTGTCTAATAATTGTATTTTATTGTTGTTGTTTTTTACTACTATATAGTAACAGGTCCAATTTGTATGCTCCAGTCTAGCACAGGGAGAGCATTTCATCTTTAGTGGAGGGAGACATTTGAAATTGTATTTGTCAGGGTTCACCCTGTCAGAACATATTAACTCTCTGTGCTCATTTGTCTGGCCTTTGGGCTTGTTGCAAAATTTGTGCCCCTCGCTGCCCTGCTTAGGTGAACCGTATTCCATTATCTGTGTGATTTTGAATATTGAATGGTAATCTAGACTGATCCTAAAATGACTTTTTAATGAAGAAAAGCTATCGGATGTGTAATTTGGCACGGTTTGGGTCTAATCTGTCAATGGCACACTGCCCATTCACATTAAATTGAGCTTTTCCTGTACGCTGAAGCAAGATTTCATTGCATTTATCCATGTTTGCTCATTTTGTAATAAAGTTCTGGTTTGCTGTAGGTCTATGGATCAGAAGCGGTGCTGGATACATTAAAAAAGAGGGCACTCAGATGACATGGAGTTTTGTGGCTCCAAATTTAGGATACTGGCTTGCAGCATTTCCCTCAGCATCAGGTGAGGACAGCAGCAGTTACATGGCATGTTATGTTGTATGACAAATAAGAGACATTTTGAGGATATACTTAATATACTAATAAGATTTTTCTGGATCAGTAAACTTTAAATTACACAATGACTTTAAAAATGAAATAAATTTAGATTAGAATTTTGTTTAATATCCATTTTCATCTTTTTATGACATTAATTTCTAAACATGGTTGGTTTAATTGTTTAATGCTTAAGAAATGCGAAAATAAAAATACTTATTTTTGTGTTTAAGGAACAGGACTGAACACCTCTGGTCTGAGAGACATCACTACCTACCACACCATTTTCCTGCTAGCGATTCTGGGTGCCATGGCCCTGCTAGTGCTTATTCTGCTGTGTTTACTACTGTACTACTGCAGGTATTGTCGCTCTGTGTGCATGTTTGTTGTGTGCCCGAAAAAGTGATTAAGAGCTCATCCTTGTAGACTTGGCCATAGCAAGTTTTGAATCAACTAGGGCTGCCCCTAGGGCTGGGCGATAAATCGATTTTATCGATTAACTCGAATGTGTAGTTTACGCCGATTTTTTTGAATGAAAATCGGTTTTCTCTTTAACAACCGCCGACGCGCCCATCTGGGCTCCCGTAGTTCCGACCGGGCTCAGCGCTTGCCATGATAGAGATACACAAACAACATGGCAAATGAACAAGACCGCGGCAGCAGAAGCACACCCGCCGAAAACATTTACAAACTGAATCTGCAGGGCAGCCAACTCTCACGAGTTCACTGTGAGAGACGCAATTGTCACTTTTTACACGCTCTCACGCACACATCCATTTTCTAACGCAGAGAAACATCGCGCAGAAAAGATCAAGAGGACACTGACACCGACAGACTAGACAGAGCAGGTTACTGATATGAAACAGATTCTCAGCTCTCAGATTCGGTCAATTTTAATACGAAATTCAAACAATAAACACAGACAATTTTGGCGCTTGTAAATGTGACGTGAAAGATCGCTGACAGATCTCAGTTCAAGCGGCACATGAACCGATCATCTGTTACTCTTTACTAAGTACTAACTTACCCAAATGTAGCTAATAAAATCGATCGATCAGTGTTTTTCAACCGCGGAAAGATGTCCATAAAACAGCTGGAGAACAACATATGTCACGTAACGTTACATTTACCTCAGGATGCCTTTTAATGACCCATAGCACGCATGTTAGTTGGACTTAAAATAATTGCTATAGAGAGGAGTATTTTGCTAAATATGATAACTATATTACACATTTATTATATTTTACCTATATCATTAAAATATTATAACGTTGTTTGTTATTATAAAAAACGCATTGTTTAATTTGAGTTAGTTTTAACCTTTAATAATAATAGCTGACAGGGCTCTCTGTATGTTTACAGCATTAGGTGATTTATTTTTGGAGAACAATTAACATAACACATTAACGTATCTACTGTACCTAATATTTATCCAGAGGAATTGATATTGAATCAATATCAGAATCAAAATCACAAGAATTGAAATTTGTGTTAAGCAATAGTAGCATACCAGTCTTTTTGTACCATGTAAACATTGTGTTTATAGTTAATAAACTTGATACAATTATGTTTAGTTACCAAATAATTTGACAATCACAATAAACTTATTGTGATGCAAGTTTTTTTTTTTTTTTTTTTTACACATCCCCCCAATCCACCCATTTTATGTTATGTTACATTTACACTATTTACAATGACAGGGCCTGCCCTCTTGTCTTTTTGGCTTGTTGTTTCTGATTACACTTTAATCCAGATAATATCACAGAAGGGAATATCAAAACAAAATAAAGTTAAAACTTGTTTTGAACAATTTCTTTGTCATCTGCAGATTGATTTTAAGTAGGGAGAGAAAAAAAATCGATTTAAATCGTAAATCGGATTTTTTGTGAAAAAATCGGGGATTTTTTTTTTAGGCCATATCGCCCAGCCCTAGCTGCCCCTAATAGTAGACTAAACGTTAGTCGACTAGAAGAGGCTTAGTCGACCAAAATTTTATTAGTCGGTTAGTCAAAAAAAATAAAACTAGTGACGAAGTCTGTGAGAGGAACAGATTGTTAACGACGGTTCTTTGTGATAATTACAGTATGTCGGGCAGGAAATCCAAACGTTAAATATGGCTTATCATTTGAAACATGCAAGTAGCAACTTTACATGGCTGCTCACTCTAACGTTAACCTAGATAAATGTTTATTAATAAATAAATAAAATGTCTCCTTGCTATTTTTTCCGACACATTCATTGCTTTGCAGCAAGGTTTATGTGCGCTTGAGCGCGGAATAGGCTATATTACGCCTATATATTAAACGCTCTTTATGGTTTAGTATTCTCCTCAGCAGTGGTGTGCACAGACCTCCTCAGGGGCAGGGGCGGAGGGACCAAAAAGGGCACTAAACATTGTTTTTATTCTTTCTTTCCTTGGCATTCTAAGAAAATATGTTGATACAATTAGAATGCATAACACATCAAATGAAAATAGGGAAATGATGATAATATTACTAAATATTATTTACTTTACCAAACAAAACAGTGAGAATCAAGAAGGTAATTATGGAAAATTCATTTTTTGTTTTGTTGATGTTGTAAATTTAATGTATGTATTATATGTATGAAAGTGTTAGCTATCATGAATCAGTAACACTTTACAATAAGGTTTCATTAGTTAAATAAGTTAACATTAACTTATAATGAACTGCACTCCTACAGCATTTATTAATCTAAGTTTATATTAATTTCAGCATTTACTAAAACATTAAAATCAAAAGTTGTATTTGTTATCATTAGTTAATGCACTGACTGTGACATAACATGAATAAACAATTAACAGTTGTATCATTAACTAAAATTAACAAATACAGTAGCAAATGTGTTGCTCATGGTTAGTTCATGTTAGTTCATACACGAAAAATGAACAAATCAACCTTATTGTAAAGCGTTACTATGAAATCAAAGATATAAATTCCTTACAATTTAGAGTTGGACATGGACTTAAGATTTCATTTAACTAGATGTATTTCCCCAAGCTAATAACACTTGCTATGGATAAAAACGAATGACATTGTCACTCAAAATGCGTCTGAAATCGAGTTATACTTTTATTATAGTTAAGTGTAACTCGCATGCTGCCGCAACTTTTAGAGTAGCATGGTAGGATAAATGTAATTTTCCGTATTAGCTTTAACGTTACCTGCTGCTCATGTAGTTTGAAGACACCGCAAACTGCTGCGTAGTGCGTACCAGAACCGTTAAATGCGTATGAGGCGCTGCAAAGGAAACTCCGCCTACCACTTCTCCGCCAATTTTTTTTTTATATATAATATTTGTTTGTATTATTATTGTTAGTGGCAAGGGTGTGTAAGGGTATTGTTATTTATTATAATATTTATGATAATAATAATTATTATTATTTACAATTATCAGAAAAGGGCACAATACATTTTGAGACAAAAGGGGCAGACACTTGTTTGGGCTTTTGTGCCGGCCAAATAGTAGGGTAAGGTTACGTTTTGAGTGGATGGCGAGTGCCATCATTAGCGCGTATCGCGCCAGAGGCTCTATTCGCGTCATTCTTGCGAACTGGACGCGCGAATGAGGCGAATTCGCGTCTACCGCGCCGCGCTAAACGCCTCTTTCGCGCAGCAAAGTAAACCAGTCTTTAAATTGAAATCACTCGCGCCAGACGCTCTATTCGCGTTTGGTGTGAACGCACCACTACTGTTCATTCTTTCTGTAATAAGAGGCTGGATTGATGAGCCTCTAGTGAATAAAGAGCAGTAGCCTGACTGCTATGTTCAAAGCAAACTTGAGAAAAAGAAAGCAATAAACCATGGTTTAACTGCACTATAGGCCTAGTTTACCTTACATGTGCACTTTGTAATTTTATTTTCTATCGCCCTGTTTTGATCCCTTAGAAAGGGCTGTTTGTGTGACAAAGTATTTTTTCACCCTTTTATTGATGGACAGTGTTACATGGTGTAAAGATTATTTGCTCCAAGTGTGGATGTTAGTGTGAAATTGAACACTACAGTACATGCCAATATTGTTTTCAATAAAAAAACATTTGCACAAAGCAAGCCAATCCACTTTTCCATGCTGATAAGAGCATTAAAATGAGAAAAAATAATGGGACAAAAAGAAATCAAGGGACATTAAGAATAGATAAATATGTGCGATTAATCGCGAGTTAACTATGACATTGATCGCGATTAAATATTTTAATCGTTTGACAGCACTAATATATGTGTGTATATATATATATATATATATTAGTGCTGTCAAACGATTAAAATATTTAATCGCGATTAATCGCATTAATGTCATAGTTAACTCGCGATTAATCGCATTTAATCGCACATTTTTATCTATTCTAAATGTCTCTTGATTTCTTTTTGTCCCATTATTTTTTCTCATTTTAATGCTCTTATCAACATGGAAAAGTGGATCGGCTTGCTTTGTGCAAATGTTTTTTATTGAAAACAACATTGGCATATATTGTGTTCAATTTCACACTAAAACATTCTTACTTGGAGCAAATAATCTCTCACACAATGTAACACTGTCCATCAATAAAATGGTGAAAGAAATACTGACGAGGTCCTGATATTGACGAGGGGGTGGAGAATTCGCATCAGCTGTGTGTGTGTGTGTGTGTGTGTTTGGCCATCATCAAGTGGTATTTCAGACTGGACGTGCTGCGATGATGATAGCTCAGTTCACAACGACAAAACACACAGATCACTTTGGTCTCGTCAATGGAACCATTTGGCAACTTTTTAAAAGTAAACGTTCCATTCAGAATCTTATTGCCATCCATTTCGGTGTCTCGCGCTCGTCATCCACTCAAAACTGGACGTTTTGAACGTTCCTATAACATTCAGAAATAACGTTTTTATAACTTAATGGGAACGTTTTGAAAACGTTCTTATAACCTAAAATTGTTAGCTGGGGAAGAGGAGAGATTCGCGATTGCACTGGACACGTTTTAAGTGCAGGCATATTCTCTGAGCGAGCCCAGAGAAAATTCTTACAAGAGCAGCATGTATCTGAGAGCGCGCGACTCGAGCAGAGAGATTCGTGCTCGGCACATTATATTCCACGCGCGAGCAGAGAGATTCGCGCTCGCGCATCCGGCTCGCAAGCCCAAACAAGTGTGTGCGGCGTGCCTGTTGTTTTGTTTCCGGTCTAGATAGATCCGCTTGCGCTTTCAAAACGTCCATGCCGCGTCCTGTTGCAAAAGCATGTGAAAAAAAACTACAAAGTTTGCTAGGCCAAAAAGACCGTTAATCGCGCGATAAAAAAATTAACGCCGTTAAAATGGGTTTGCGTTAACGCCGTTAATAACGCGTTTAACTGACAGCCCTAATATATATATATATATATATATATATACACACACACACACATTCACACAGTACTTGGTGGGATAATAGCTAACAGATATTGTTATTATTTTTCCAGGAGGCGATGTCTGAAACCTCGGCACCATAGTCGGAAAATGCACCCCTCATCCACTCTGGAGAGTTCAAAGAGAGACCAGGGCACATCCACTTCCCACCTCAATCTCATCAGTGGTGGACACGTGGAGACACCCTCCTCGGCCGGTGACCATGACGGCATCAAATCTGAACTTTCCTCCAACCGTGATCTCCACAGCTCTCGAGAGGACTTCTTCAGACATGGCCCCACCCAGAGGCAGCACAACTCCAGGATGAATGCTGACACAAAGCGAGGAGAGAGCTTCCCATTGAAGGCCACTCACTCTTCAAACTCAGGAACTCGAAATCCGCTTCTACAGGACGACTATAGCAAAGGTTACAGCTCTGCTGAGGACTCCGATGAGCGCAGATACCATCACCATAATGCTAAAGACAACCAGGGCTATTCGTCAGACCCACCGTCCCCACCTCCACTTTTGCCACCATTTGCTGGTCACTATCAGGATCACAGTCAGGACAGCAAACCTCCAGAGTATTATGCATCAGCAGGGGATCCCCTCACTCGGCCCAGTTCTGTCAACACCCAGCCTGGCCAGCTGATCTTCTGTCACTCCATGGAGCAGATGAAGGAGAGCATGTACCACAGCATGGTGCCCACACTGGTCATCCCTGCACATTACATGCATCTGTCCTCTGACCTGTCAGTTGTGGAGCAGGCCATGGAAAGGCAGCAACAGCTGCAGCATGATATGGAGGGCATCCAGGTTAGCATGACACTGCCTCGGCAACAGAGTCAACACCAAAAGCAACAGCAGCAGCAGGCCAGGCAAGAAAAGGAAGAGGAAGAGTCTAGCCAGCAAGCAGAGGGACCTTCAGAGGAGAACTGGGGATCTGAACAATCCACTGCCCCCGTCCGTATTCCTGTCCTTTTCAATGACTCTACTATTGCACAAATGAATGGAGAGTTGCAAGCAATGACAGAGAAGAAGCTGCTGGAGCTTGGGGTAAAGCCGCACCCCCGTGCCTGGTTTGTTTCCCTTGATGGCCGTTCAAACTCTCTTGTTAGACACTCCTACATTGAGCTGAGCAATGAAGCCTTGCGTGCACCTGTGGGCCCCAGCAATCTAGCCCAGGACCACCGTACTAAAAGAATCCCCATGAGTTCAGGGAAATCTACTCACCGAAAAACAAAAGAGGAGGGCAAGGTGAAAGGAGGTGGTGAAAGAAAAGCTCATGGAAAGATTTATTCCAAGCTTCCCGTTATCGAAACGCCAGACTCGAGCTGTGAGGGCCATTCAGGCATGTACTCACCTGAGGAGAACTCCACAGCACCACTGCTTGACGAGACCTCGGAGTCCAGAGGTGGGACGTTTCCTCGTAAGGGCTGCAGTCGTGACAACAGCACCCGCAGTAGTGCCAGCGAGGTCCACAGAGACTCTATCACCAGTCCTGATGATGACAATGAAGCCGATGACAAAGATGACGACGGCGAGAATAAGAAGAGCCCCTGGCAAAAGCGTGAAGAGAGGCCCCTCATAGTGTTTAATGTCAAGTAACTCACATGCTGTCCAGGACTGATTATGGCACTGTCTTGGCTATACCCTTCTTTTGCATAGATACTTAGTACTGATGAGGTGTAAAGATGAAGAGCTGGAGAAAAAAAGTTGAATGAAAAGCACAATAAGAGACATGGCACTTACCTGAGTGAGGTATCTGTTCCAACCATCAAGACTAGGTACCAAGAATTAGCACTGAATGTCGCTTGTAAAGAAGCATTTGAAGTCCTCACACTCTCTTAGATGTCCTTTAGATAGACATCTGATGTTGTTCTAGCCGCAGTTCATGAGGCCAGAGGGATTCGTAACTTTGAATCTGCACTCAAGATGTTGTCTCGCTTTCCTTAAGTGGTGCCCATTTTTTGTAAGAATTACCATGAGCCATTTTAAAACTGACTTTGGGAAGCAATCCACAAGCCTTAAAAAGCTTTTTCCTTTTCAAAAGAAATATAAATGGAAATGAATATAAATTTGATATTGATGAAAATATGGGCTGTTGTAAGAATTGAGAGATTTTATCAGTTTATATTTCTTTTATTGTAGTGGTTTACTTAAACATTTCATTTGTTTATATGACTACGTAGACCTGAACCATTAAGATGTGTGGAAATCGTACATTTCACAAACGGGTGAAATTGTTGCTAAATCAATTTGTTTACTCCTATGGGACTTATTGAATCCTAGTGGTTGAAAGATAATGACACTGTATGTTGTACTGTTGGTAAAAGTTCCCCTTTTGTACTTATCTAAAACCAGTGTTGCCATTTTTTTTAAATATGTGTAAGGAGAATGTTTTAGGTAGGAAAGCTACTTTTAGATATGAATAAAAGGTTCTGCTTATATACAGAACACATTTTGTACTCTGAATAAGCCTTCCTGTTGAATCGGTGCACCAATAGGAATTGTGTTTTGAGGGACTTACCTTGGACACCTGTGAAAATGTTTTCAAACTAATCTTTGCTGCAGTGCATCAGAATTTTTGCCATAAATCAGAACCACTGCAACTGTTACCTGTGGAAGTAAAAAAAAAAAAAAACCTTTTTTATGGAGTTTTTGTGTGTGACTGAAGATACAGATTGTGCTTTATATGGATGTGCATGGATGAATTTATGCAAAAAAAAGTCTTTTTTTTTTTTTAACAAGTATTGCTTAAGCGCTCTTATTAAACTCTGTGAACCACTTATTTGTAAATAACACCTTAGTAAATGTACACCCTCATTTTTGTTTTAAGCATTTTATTTTTGTCTGATTATTACCAATCACCTTCGGCCTCTGGTTCCTGGCCAAACTATTCATATCACACTTGTACCTGTTATTTTCGTTAAGTAGTTGCCTTTTTATTGTAATTTTGACTAAGCCTTGCCCTCATAACATGTGAAGCATTAGCCAATTACCATTGAATACATTGTTATACACTCAACCAGAACCTACCATGTACCGACATGAGTATCTCACCATTCCTCTTCAAATGAACTGCAGAATTTTCGCAAGTGCCCTCAACTTCCTGGAAAGTGTATAGATTGTTTTAGAGATGTTCCTACATCATTACAGAAGTTATGTTAAATAATTTATTACATTATATTATATTAGAAATTATATTATATTAACTTATATATTAATGGTTACAAAATACATTTTGAAAAACATTTTGCATTATTTATAATCTTATCATTTCGATCTGTACGATCACCTGTAAAGTTGAGATTTTCACATAAAAGCATTTGGCAACTGAATTTGGAGCAGTGTGCGGTGCACCCCTTGTTTTGGGTTTTACTTAACATAAACTAAATAAATGTGTTTTATTAAATATTGTGTCTACATATGACTAAGCATTTGTACTCTGGGTGTGGGCTATGAGCAGTCACTAGGTGGCACAATGTTACAAAGGATTTGTACAGTAGGCCTAATTATAAAATTCAATATAATGGTCTTCTATGGGTTCTCGTCATTTTTGGGAATATTGATATTTACACATTTTACGTTTTTAAAGTAATCTAGCGTGATTCAAATGTATTACTGTCACATATACAGAGACTAGCCTACCTACTACGCGTCTGGTGGGCACGAGGTCGGCGGCGCGCCTAAGTATCCTCGATCAAGCTTGACAGCATAATGCGCGCTCTCGCGTTCCCCCGGATGCGTGTTTACTCAGTCTCCTCTCTCCACCCTTGAAATGAGAGAGGTACGGAGTGGAAGAGACATCGTTTTACAAGAAAACCTCCACGAACGGGCTGCCGAGATCGAGACCGCACGACAGACGAGGGTGAAGCACGAAGAGTCAAGGTGTAGCACGAGGATAAATTGATTCGAAATCAAGGTCAATTATCTCTCTATAACAAAAACTTCCGACACGGAGAAATCACGAACCTCTGAGGATGGAGCAGGCATACGGGGCTGGCAAGGCTGGCGGCACCTTCGATCCAATTACGTTCTTTCAGCAACCGCAGACTATTCTTCGAATAGTGTCATGGGTGAGAGTGATTCTACTAATTGCATAATTTAAGCGCGAACCAGAGTGCCATGTGATGACGCGTTAACGGCTTGTAAAGCTTTGCCGCCTAAATGCACATCTCGCGCCCTGGCAAATTATTTCTTCAATTTCATTTTTTTTTTTTTTTTTCAGATTTTTTTTTTTTTTTTTTATTACACAGCTCTCTGGAATATGTGATTCTGATTGATAATTCGTGAAAATCAGTATACAGATATTGCTGTAAACGACCATTGTTTAGGGAAACTGTAGGCTATTGGACCAGATAACAATAGTACCTAAATAACAATAGTTGTTCTGTAGCTCAATCTTATGAATTCATTTGTAAATAGAGAGTTTGACCATGACTCAAGAAGCTCGTATTCATAAAGGAAAAGTGGATTAGTCGACAACGTCTGTCTTTTACCTTTACAAGAGAGATTTCTGACTGCTTGTTAACTAACTGAACAATTTTAACACGGCTTATTTGATAATTTATTTCCTTATCTGATCTCAATCAAGTGGCTCCTGATTTGTTTAAAGATGTGACTCTTGCATGAATGAGCATGTACACTGTTTGCTGATAAAAACGTTTGTAGAGAGAGAGAGAGAGAGAGAGACACATGGTGAGGGGGTGGTGGGAGATTATAAGAGGGTGGCTGATTTGGGGGAGGGGTGGCCAGGTGTCTGAAGTGGTGATTATTAAGGCACAACTATGCAATAGGTGGTATCATTCAAGAATATAAATTATTTACCACTGAGAATCGATACATTTGCCTTTATTCTGAGTTTGTAATATAAATGACCACTGACTAATTCATTGCTAATTTATACAAAATAAAAAATATTTTTTTTATTTTTTGTGATTTTGTTATGTGCTTTTGTATTTTTTATCACTTTTGTTATTTGAAAAATATTTCTATTTAGCTTTAATTAATTGTTTGTTTTATTTCGGTTTTAGTTATTTTAGTTACTCAACATTAGTAATTCTAACTTATATTTCAGTTCGTTGCCAAGGCAACTTTTTTAATTTTTATTGTCTTAAGTTTTTTTTATCTAATATATAAAAAAAATGATTTCACCTTTAATTCAATTCACGAAAATACTTTTTATTTTTAGTTAATGATAGCAACACAACACATAAATATACGGAGCCCCTAAAGGGACATGGTAAAGGAAAAAAAATATGCGTTCCCCCGAGAAACTGCGTTCGCTTGCAAAACTTTTGCGAACAAATTTTCTCGGGGGAATGCAAAACGTTTTATGAGGGAATACAAAAGCATTGACAAATAATTTTTCTCCCTGACTCATTTTTTTTGTCACCATGTGCCTTTAGGGGTTCCGTAAAATAGAAATCTATCTCTAAAAAAAGAATTTACATATTTAAATACGTTTGCAGCGATCATGAATATCTAGAAAAGTCATGGAAATGTATTGATCAAAAAGGGTGGGAAGGTTCTGGCTGTATTTGATACATCTCTGCGATATATATTTTCAGTGTGACTATGTTGGAGCTTTTTATGTATCCTGAATGTTCTTAGTAGGTAAGCTGAATTACTTAAGTTGCTTTAGTTATTGCAGCCAAACTGTTTGTTTGAGTATCCTGACCCGATCAACCAGTACTGTGAGTTGGAGGTGGGATTTCCTGTTTTTCCAACCAATTGAGGATAGAGAGACTGTTCGGGCAACCTGCATACATGTATGCACAGAAATGACACCCTTCACCTTTAAGTGGCGTGGATATGTGTGTGTGTGTGTGTGTGTGTGTGTGTGTGTGTGTGTGTGTGTGTGTGTGTGTGTGTGTGTGTGTGTGTGTGTGTGTGTGTGTGTGTGTGTGTGTGTGTGTGTGTGCGGTGCTGTATGGAATCTTCAGGATGGATTGGAGGTGTATTCGTCTGATTCATACTCTGATTGGCTGAGTGAATGCTGCTGCGTTGGCATGACAACAATCAGAGGCCTCAGGCTGGATACTAACAGGCTCACTATGAGGAAAATGAAAATAGATGAACAGTGAAGGCATTAATGGGATTGCCTCTAGAATATTTATTTGAAACCTCTTATTTATCCTATGTCTGATAACAGTGTCTCTTTCCACTATTACTCTTTCTGTGAACAGCAACATTAGCATGCAGTTGTCATGATTCAGATCTGGTAGAAAATATGATGATGGATAGGCTTGGAGTCTTTCCTCATTGCTGTTTGTAAACAGAGTCTCGCTTTAAAATTGATGATCTTTTGGATCTTTGATTTATGTGAGCAGTCTCTTTCACACAGGAAACTCCACTGACAAATATTTCACAGAAAGAGTTTGAAAACATGGGTGATGAAAAACCTCTTGGCAAGAATAAGCAGCAGTTCATTCATTTATTTTCCCAACAAGCTGCCACACTGTATTCAACCAGCATGTCTGTGTCTGTGAAACACAGAATTACCACATCATTTTCCAGCTCGTCTGTTGCAATTGCTCTTCTTTTTTTTAAGGATATATATTATAATCAGAACCCATCCTGCCTGCCCAGTCCTTTACAGTGCACATGTGATGCTTTAAATATAGCACAGTCATTTTACTGTTGTCCGTTATAGGACTAATGGCACAGTTGAATACTGCTGCAGGGTGACACACTCTCCATTTCTCTCCATATGTCCACCTTTTTTCCTGCACAGTGACTACGTCAAGGGGGAAAATATAGTTCACAGAGCCTCTTTATCTCTCTAACATTATTATCATAGATTGTGATTCATTTATTTCCTGGCAGGATTTTTTCTTGTCTGGTTGTTGTGATATTCTGGCAATGGATCACTATTAACTCGTGCATTATCTTGTATCTAATCCACATTTATACAATCTTGCACTCTCTTATTCTGGATTCAAGTCAGCAATATAATATTAAAAATACATAGAAATACTGGATATACAGTAGGACCTTCACGATATACTGGTATTGACAATAATCGTGATATTTAAAAAATGAAATATCGTTATCGTGTTAATTAGGGTGTCGCAATATACCGATATTGAGAATGCAAAGCTGACGTCACTCATTGTAATTCTGAGTAACTGTCTTGTTTAGACACAATATTAGGAGGATTGTGCTGCCTTTCTGCTTTATTTAATTTAATGCAGTGTTTTAATTTTCTGTCATGATTGTGAATTGAGATTTGTCCACTGTACAGATTGTTTTGTACAATTATTTTGGTAATCCTGAAACGGAAAATGTTACATTAACCTATTAACTGCTGACACCTTTCTGTGTTTTATTATATTTACATCCCTCTGTAGCCTGGTAATACCAGACTCTGCTACTTCACTTTGCTTCGAGTCTGGAATGGCATAATAGAGAAGTGTTTTCTCTCTCGCTAGGGGGCGCTTGTCTGAAGTTTAAAATCATTGGTTACCCGTAAGCCAATCAGATAAGTTTATATATGACGTATGTTATGTGCCAACACAGCCGCATCGAACCACAGACATCATGCATCGAACTCAAATCTATGATCGAACTTCCACTGTAAACCTGCTGTAAACACTTGATGATGCGAGCGAAATACCGGAGTGAACATGGCTGTAAACGACTTTTGCAGATTATGCGAAGTTAATCTACACATCCACGGTACAATCAGGGCCTCTAAACTGATATTTGACAGTAGAGAGAAACAAAAAAATATTTGCAGCCAACTGTCATAGTTAGGATTAGTTCTGTTAAACACAGCTCTTTGTTCATCTCGAGTTTGTCGGAAATGCTGCAACTTAATTGCAAGATTACAGCATGTCATGGCAATATTTAAGACCTGGAAAAGAAAGGAGACACTGACCTGTCAAAAGGCTCCCCAGTTTCTCGCTGACGATCGGTAATAGTTGATAAATTAAACTTTTCCCAAAGGGAGTAGGGCCACAACATCACCTCCATTCAGCCACCTCCATTCAGCCATCACCTGGCCAGCAGCCATATCACCCTGTAGCCCAAGACTGGTTGCCCACTGAAGCTAAGCAGGGCTGAGCCTGGTTAGTACCTGGATGGGAGACCTTCTGAGAAAACCAGGTTGCTGCTGGAAGAGGTGTTAGTGAGGCCAGCAGGGGGTGCTCACCCTGTGGTCTGTGTGGGTCCTAACGCCCCAGTATAGTGACGGGGACACGGTCAAAGAGCACCGTCCTTCGGATGAGACGTTAAACCGAGGTCCTGACTCTCTGTGGTCATTAAAAATCCCAGGATGTCTTTCGAAAGAGTAGGGGTGTAACCCCGGCATCCTGGCCAAATTTGCCCAGTGGCCTCTGTCCATCATGGCCTCCTAATCATCCCCATATATACATATACACTGATTGGCTTCATCACTCTGTCTCCTCTCCACCAGTAAGCTGGTGTGTGGTGAGCGTTCTGGCGCAATATGGCTGCCGTCGCATCATCCAAGTGGATGCTGCACATTGGTGGTGGTTGAGGAGATTCCCCCTTCCATGTGAAGCGCTTTGAGTGCCTAGAAAAGCGCTATATCAGGGTTCCCGCGGATCCTTAAAAAGTCTTAAATTAGATTTTTAAAATTTAAGGCCATAAAAAGTCTTATAAAGTCTTATTTTTACTTATGAAAGGTCTTAAATTTTAGATGACACTTTGACTTAGACATATCTAAAAGCTTTCCAAATTAAAACCATCTAATTAGCGTACGTATTTTTATTTATTTATTATTCTATCTTTGTGGATTTGCTAGTTCACGTGACATTTCGCGTCACTCGCGAGTCGCGGCAGCATAACTGTCTCCTGCACGCGAGAGGAGAGGAGAAGAAAGGTCGTAAATGTCAGTTCAGTTGTAAGTTCATTCTTTATGTGCGTATGGTGTGCGATGTGTATTGTCTTTTATGATATTGTAATCATTGTTTTAACAATGTACGAGGCACTGCGAGCTGACATCGCATTTGTCTCTCGTGCTTTCACTCTGCGTGATGTGTGCAGTGTAACTGTTATGTCCCCAAGTTAGTTTTTGTCTTATATTTATATCATATTATGTTCTTATATT